ACGACAAACGTCCCCGTCTTGGTTCATGTGGTCACAGTGTCTGTCACCCGTGCATAGAATCACCGGTAGAAGATGAAGCACGAGAAAATGCCGACTGTCCAATTTGCGAAAAGGAAAATGCATTCTCAGAAGTTTTATACAATTTCGATCTGTGCAGAATGTTGGAGGCGTTCAATAAGAGAGTGACGGAGGAGAACTTTCAATGGCTGGAGAAAAATCCGCAGGTTAGCGAATTTTCAAATTTTCGTCTCTTGAATAACCTGATCAGTAGTTTCAGAAACTCAACATCGGGGTCTGCAAGGGCTGCTCTACAACAGAAAGACTCCGAATTTGTGTGACTTGTGCAGAAACTTCAGGCCTATTCCAAAAACTTCCAAATGGAAAATTCCATCTATTGAATGGCAACAGAGCCCTTCACTTAGCAAAATCCGTATATTTGTGCTCGGATTGCATAGCCGACGAACCACCAGACCATCATCAACATGTGTTCCTTCCGTTAGCAAAGCTTGATTTTCTAGAAATGGATTTGGAATTTTGGCACTATATTATTTATGCAATGTTTTGGGAGAAGAAAATGCAGGAGGAGGAAGAAAACTTTCCGATTATTGGGGAAGTTGACGCCCTTAAACAGATGATTATACGATACAAACGAACGGCGTTAGAATGTGAGGTGAAAATGAGGTCCTCTGTTTTCAAGGATTATGAGCATGACATTAAACTTTTCCTGTCGAAAAAAGTGGATATTAATTCAATACCAGAATTATCTCGAGCAAAGGATAAATCATTTGCGATGGCTCAGAAAGTGATTAATCGAATTTTGAAGTTGCAAGAACGACTTTTATGGTATGAGAGAGATGAACTGAATGATCATCTCGAGGAAGTGAAAAGAAAGAAAATGAATGATCCGGTGTTTTTGGGATGTATAGGTGAGTACATACTGAGCTCATGTGAAAGCTCATATAGGCTCAATTATCAAAAAGTTAATTTGTGGAAAAGATCACAATCAGGGCTGTGCGAAAAAATTTTCGAAATTTTTTTTTCGGAGAAAGCAAAAAAAGTTTTAAAAGAAAAGGTTCCTTAGTTGTATGTTTTTATTCTTTTACCGCCTTTTCACACATTTTTCATTAAAAAAACGAATAAATTTGAAAAAAATCAAAAAATTCCGAAAAATCATTTTTCGATTTTTTTTCGCCCTGAAAGAATTCGAAAAAAAAGTTTTTCGGATATTTTCGGACCAAAATTTTCAAAAAAAAATTTGTTTCGATTTCTTTTTGGAATTTTTTTTTTCGCACAGCCCTGGTCACAATCATGTTTTGCAATCATATTCGATACCTTCAAGAATGGAAAAAAAGGTCCGCGTCACTTTGCAACTGCGACATTTCGCAACTTGCCGTTTCGCAACCAATACAAAACTGTCAGATCGTCAGATAAGACTAGGTAATTTTTTATACATTTCGGCTGGAGTACAAGCTCTTTCTACCTGTCAAAGTCAGTTGCGAAATGTCGTAGTTGCGAATCCGCATGTTGCGAAGTGACCCAAAAAGGGGAAAGGATTTAAAAAATGTGCATTTTCAGAAGAGTTATTGGCTCTGTCAATAAAATACAAAAATTATCGATTTGCGGACCTGACACCGTTGGAGGCTGATGAATTAGATGAAGAAGTGAAAGTAAAACTTGAACAAGAACTTCAGAAATCGAAACTTTATGAACATGCCCCTAAAGAAAAGAAGTTTTGTATCTACGAAGTAATAAGGAATATACTTCAAAATGCAGATGTCAAAAATGAATTGGTCAGTGAACAACTAGAGAAAGAAGGCAAGCAACTCGAAGATTTTTACGCGAAAAGATATGAAGAGGTTGAAAAGATCAAAAACAAAGAAATGGCTGCACTGGCACATCGGCTTTTCTTGTTTCAATTCGTCGAGAAAAGTTTCAAATTTGACGAATTGTTAATAAGCCAGTTGGAGTCACATTGTGATGGTTTGGAAGGAGAATTGATGTGGCATCTGTCGTATCCAAACACGCGCAAAGATCTTGAAGATTTTACCTATGCTCGTTTATTATATAATAATTTTATAGCAGGAACAGATTCAATTCCTTTTGAAAGATTCTCAAGTTATTTTTCTTTTTGAAAATCTGTATATCCGGATTTTTTTTTTGTGTTTGCATTACAATAACATTCCCCTCCCATCAGCCTAAATCGTTCTGCTTGAAACTTGACAAAAATAAAAATATTTCCAAAAAATCAGTTTTTTTTTTCTCGAAACTTTTATAAATAGCTGGTTTTGGGCCCAACTTCAATCCGCAGTGATCAACCACACCATCACGTCAAATTGCGGAAAAATCAACAAAAGAAAAACTACCGTACTCCCATTTCAGATTTTTCCCCGTGACCTCTCCCCCCGAAATAAAATAAAAAACTTCTGAATTCCACGCCTCCACGTCCCCGCCATCAAAATCACGTCATTCCCTACTCAAAATTCAGTACAGTCTATTGATCGACTCTCTCAAGAAGAATAAGAAGAAGACTATCAAGAAGTCATCGCGAAATCTTCAATGGCAGGTAAGCAGCTTTTGTAGTTTGTAGCCCCTTTAGTAACTAATTTTCCAGTCACCTTCCTGCTCCTCCTCTTCCTCATCCCATCGACCGCATCGGATAACTATTTCGGTGTCAACGTCCCAACTGGAGTCGGTAAACCTCAAACCGATCGAAAAGTGATCAAACCCTTTGGACTCTTCAATGAAGCCTTCACAAAATGCGGTAAAACCAGTGTGACCAAGATCAACGAGGCGTGGACCAGTCCAATGACCACTGAGGTCTATGTGGACTGTGAGCCAACACCGACTCGAATGCACATTACTCTTTCGGATGACGTTTCATTCAATAAGTTCGAGAGGGATTGGAAACAGGAATGCGAGCTGTTGACGTGCTCCACAGAGGATTTGTTGGCGAAGGGTGCCAAGTTGAAGATGGGTCCGAATGTTAATGCAACTTTTACTGATGATTCGGTGGCACAGACACCTGATAAATCGGATGACCTTGTTTGTGAAGGGAAGAAGTGGGAATGGCCAGTGGTAAGTCTAGGGGGACCGGACTTTGAAGGGCTATATCTCGGAAACTAAAAGAGCTAGAAAAAACTAGTTAATTACAAACTTGCTCAAAATTTTTTGATCTTTGACTTTGCAGTTGACCATTTTTTCTTATATTTCATGGTTTTGGAGATATAGACTTTGCAAGCTCAGTGGTTCCAATCGGTATGCTCTCCTTTCTCTTCCTGCCGCCGGTCTCAGCCCCGCAACTTCAGAGCGCTGTATCTCAAAAACCAACGCAGCTAGAAAAAAGTTTTTAACTACAAGCTTGCTCAAAATTTGATAATCTACAACTTTGTAGTTGAGCACTTTCTCCTATCTTTCTTGGTTATTGAGCTGCAGCTCTCCAGAGTTTACGTGCCCTTCTTTCTCTTTCGGCCACCCTTCTCTGTGGGCTGCAGGCCCTCAACTTCACGGCGCTGTATCTCCCAAACTAGAAAAGCTAGAAAAAACTTGCCAATTGCAAACTTGCTCAAAATTTTATGATCTTTGACTTTTTAGTTGAACACTTTTCCCTATCTCACACGATCCTTGAGTTATAATTCCTCTAAACATCCCATCCTTCAGGATAAAGTCAACGACCAACCGGTCCACAAAAAAGTGCTTTTCGCCAACGAAGGCAATTGTTACGCGATGGACAATAAATTAAAGGAAAACCTGGAATCTTTGAAAGATTCTAAAACTAAAACTACATACATTCCCATTGCACAAATTCCGAGATGGTTGGATGCCAATGAGGAGCGGTTCAATTTGAGACATTTCTATTTTTCGGATGAGGTAAGTACCTTGAGTTTGGAGCAGCATATCTCGGTTGGTTTTGGAGCTATCAAAAAGTTTTCAACTAGTAAAATGATCAAAATGTTTTGCTAAACATTTTTTTATTAACTACATTATTGTAGCTCGGAAGGCAACCGAGATATGCTGCTCAGAATATGCAGAGCGCCTGAATTACAGGTTCAAAAACCCAAAAAATTTCAGAAACCCGAAAATCTGGAGCGTGTGCCATTCATCTTCCCTCCCCCCACACCTCCAACAATCACTTTCAAACAATGTGATACCACTTGTGACAAGGGTACGGTAGTGAAGATCAAAATGCGTCCGCTCTCCTTCAAATCGATGATCTACCTGGATCCCAAGAAGTGTGGCTCATTCCGAATCTGCTTTTCTCCAAAGGATTTCACAGTGGATGACGTGGTGCCGACCTGTAACCCTGACTATATTATCGATGTGCTCTTCAAGAATGGAGTCGTTGTGTGGGCCAAAAAGGGACGTGCATCGGTGATTGAGATGATGAGTCCGTACCATGACTTGGGGCACATGGTGGCTATTGAATTCGGGTATGGAGTGAAGTCGAAGCAGGATGCCAAGAAGGTATCTGGAGAGTTTTACATCGGAAACGATCATCGTGAATTCGTGACCAGTGATTCAAATGGTTATCCACCTGAGACGGCATCGCAGTTGGCATTTATGTTCCCGACTGAAGATTGCTTGATGCCAATGGCTGGTATTTTCTCCAAAGACATTGAAAATGGAAAATCCCTTACCGAGAAGGATGTGGTCAAGGGAAACACCTATAACGAACAAGGGGAAGCCATCACGGCAAAAACTGCGGAACAATTCACAACGACCACCGAACAGCCGGTCTTTAATTTCGTGAAGACCACAACTCCAGAGCCAATTCGTGTCATTCCGGAGGCTAGTGCATTGGTGGTGGTGGCGGAGAGTGAGGCACAGTCACGGGCGGTCTATTCGGAGGGAAAATGGTGGACGTGGGGTGTCTATTTGGGATTTGTGATTGGAACACTTTTGACGTTGGGTATCGGTGGAGGAGTCTTCTATTTGTTGAGACGCACCGTTTTTGGAGTTTGGTGAGTTGATTGTCTATGCGCTTGTGTTGAAATCAGTGTGTTGTCCGCGTGGCATAGTGGATAGCGCAGTTGTTTTAGAAATTTTCAACGCGGGTTCGAACCCCTCCGGGGTCAAAGCTTTTTTTTTTCTTTTTTTCCCTACAGTAATCCATTCTCCGTGGTGAGACCCACTCTGCGCCTTTGAATTGACGCTTCAGCCCATCTTTGGTTAGGTGGCAGAGAAGAAGAGTATTGTCTATGCCCTCCGCCCCTCTTTTACTTGTTGCTACCGCGGCCTAGTGGATAACGCTGTTGTTTTCGAATTTCTCATCCCGGGTTCAAACCCCACTGGGGTCAAATCCTTTTTTCTTTTTTTTTTCTAATTCTGGTACCCAATGTTCTTTCTCCAGGTACCGCGGAATGTACAAACGTTATGGTTGCGACGCATCTGGCACCACTGGCGGCATCACTGGAATCGGTTTCGGCAACACCACCACCGCCATGCAGACGATTGCTCCAGGAGAGACTGGAAATACGATGGGCGCTACGACGGGTGGAACAACGACTGGGACTACGGGAGGAGGAACCACTGGGGGAACAACTGGAAATTTGACGAGTTCAACCAGTGGAACTAGCACTATTGCTATGTGATTCCCCAGTGGAATTGAGCACAGAAGCTTTGAAAAATGGAATACATGAATCTTTTTTCTATTGTCTAAAAATGAATGGGTTTTATTTTTGTATGGATTTTTCTTCTGGATTTTTAGTCAATTTTTGTAAAGTTTCGATAAGTTTTTGGTCTTTTCTTGGTCAGTTTTTGGCCATGTTTTGGTCAGTCTTTGTTCAGCTTTGATCATGTTTGGGTCAGTTTTCCATCAGTATTTCATAAGTTTTTGTTGAGTTTCTGGGCAGGTTTTGGTCAATTTTGATCAGTTTCAGCTCAGTTTTTTTTTTACTTTTGGCAAGCTTTTGATCAGAATATGGTAAGCTTTTGCCATTTTTTGTGAGTTTTGTCGAGTGTTTGGTCAGGTTTTGGTGATTTTTTGGTCACATTTTTTGTCAGCTTTGGATCAGAATTTGGTGCTTCGTTAGCCATGTTTGAGTCAGTTTCTGGTCAGATTTTGGTCAGATTCTACTAATTTTCATGTTAGTTTTTGCTCATTTTTTTCAGCTTTCGGCCAGATTTTCTTCAGTAGGTTGTAGTCTTTGTAGTTTGTAGTATTTGTAGTCTTTGTAGTTTTTTCTAGTTTTTCAAATTCCAAAAATGAATAATTCTCACGGCCTTATCTCTAAAAACAATCATTTTTTTTTCCAAAAAACAAAAAAAAAATCCCAAAACATAACGTGTCCCAGAAAACAAGTTTTCGGAAACAAATTTTCTCTATAAATACTTTCGAAAACTCCAAAATCCTCAATCATTTCTTCCATTCCAAAGACAAGTGATAAATCTTTTGTGAGTTACGCATTCCAATTGATACCCACACTCGAAATCCGAAAACATTTCAGAACTATGAATCTCATTTTCATTTGCTGTTTCACAATCACATTGCTTTTCACACTTCCCCTGGTCCATTGTAAACCGAAAAAGGGCAATTATCGTGGAAAGTACCCGAACACTTTGAAGCCGAGACGACGGAAGCAAAAGAAGGAGGGCAAGGCGTTCAAGCCGGTTGATGTGAGTATAACTCAGAGGGCAGGGGAGATAGGGGAAAACTACAAACTACAAAGTTGTAGAGCATACAACTTGGAGCAAGTTTGTAGTTGAAAATTTTTTGGTAGCATGCACGGCTCCTGAGATATAGGGCTGGCAAGCTAACCCTGGGAAGGGGCGGGGCGGGAAAAAGGAGAAGAGAGCGCAGACACCTAGACTCTCCGCCGCCTGCGTCTCCACCCCTCTCTCTTTCTTGTTCAAACCACTGAAACCCCACTTTTCAGGCTCCCAACACCAAGAGCAAAGACCAAACCACCTCCACCCCGACAGCCGAAACACCAGGATGTGTCTCTTCCCGTCGAGCCAAATCCAAATCCAAGGAGCCATCCCTGGAGCCGACTCAGAATACGGACAAGTCTCATCCGATGTCTGTTATGAAGACTCAGGAGCCAACGATTACTAAAAGAGTCGCGTCAAAGGAGCCAAGTACTGGTATATCATCGAGACTGAGGTTTTAGGAGAGATTTATTGATTTTTTTTCAGCCAAAGAAAAGAGCAACATGAAGACGGCTCGTCGCTTTATTCCACCGTACGTTTTTGTTTTTTTGTACCTATTTTCAAAATAATATTGTGGTGATTTCAGAAGAAAAGAAGAGTATTGGGAGGATCAGAATGAGGATGAGACGCTTCTTTGTGTGAAGAGTATCGAGTGAGGGATGGAACGGAACTTTGGAATTGAATAATAAATTTTGGAAATTTGAGACTTGCATGGGGAGTACGGTAGTAGTCTGCAAACACGCGCTTGCGGACCTGGCATTTTATCTGACGACCCTTAATTTTTTGGCGATTTTCGGATGAAAATTCATCGGGATACAAAACTATACTTTGCGAGGAAATCAAAAAAAAAAACAAAAACCAAAACCTCCGTGTGGTTCGAACCCAAGAGAGTCAAAACTGTAACCGCCTGCGCCATTCGACGCGCCGCACTATCATTTCATGGTTATTCGTTGTGAATATCCTCGAATAAGACATGGTCATTTTTCTCCTCGGCCCTCCTCTAATTTTTATAGCTCAAAGAGCTCAAGGGACACCATTAATAAAATTATTATTTCAAGTTTTGTTTCAAAAAAGAATTATAATCACCAAGTATTCATTCACAAAAACTAGGTCTACGTTTTTTTAATGATATCTTCCGTGCCATCGAAAGTGCCTTCCCCATTATTTTCCTCCTTCGCTGTATTTTTTGGTACTGATTCAGTTGAAGCTCCTCGTGCCGATGCTATGGATGAACCCGGAGCTCTTTCAGAAACTGCATATCCCTCAGAATACGGAACATTATCTCGCAGTTGCGATTCGTCGACATTTTTGGGCTCTGCAATTTCATGACTTTTTCAAGCTACAAAAACTGAAAAATATACCTGCTTTAGATTCTGCTTTTCCTTTTCCTTGGTCCTTCTTCTTTTTTTGTTTTGTTTCTTTAGAACCTTTCGTTTGATCAGGCTTCTTGGATTCTTTGGAATCCTTTGAATCTTTAGAATCCTTGGAATTTTTAGAATCCTTTGAATCTTTTGAATTTTTGGATTCTTTAGATATTTCGGATTGTTTATTCTCCGCAGGATTTTGGCTGGCATTAGATGTCGATGCAGTTGAAAGCTTGGTCCCAGTTGCAGGAGTGGCGGGAGTTTCAACTTTGGAAATCGAGGCTGCAGTACTATCTGATGACTTTGATGTGGCGTTAGATTTCGAATTGGACTTTGAGTCTGAAAAAAGGTTTCTTCTTTTTTTGATTTTTTTGAGAAAATGCTTACTTTTTCCTCCTTGTTTGTTACCCTTGCTGTTCTTATTGGGTTGTTTTTCTTTTTTGTTCTTGGAATCCGCATCTTTCTCTTCTCCACTATTTGATCCACTATCATCGTCGATTTTCACGGTTTTGGGTCTAAGACGACGATAAACGTAGACAGCACCGTATATAGCTGCACACAGGGCAGCAACGATGACAACTCCCACAACAAGGTAAGTTCCCCATACTCTGAAAAAATGAAATTAATGCTCTATTCTATCTTCAAAATGGAGGCCGCGGCCTGGTAGGTTCCCGTTATTATTCTCAGCTGATTGTCGTTGAGCAGATTAGCTTTAGGGCTCAGTGCATAAATAAAATCATTATCCAAATATGAAAAGGTAAAATTTTTTAAGGTTCTAATCACTCACGGCCAAGTAAATCCCGGTTTTGGTGTCGTCTCCATGTCCATTGCAAGATCCGTGATGTTGTTGTCTCCAGTGGATACAGGTTTGGTGACTGGTCTCATTGTGCTTGTTGGAGCAGTGCCACCAAACGCTTTTGAGATTCCAGTCAACACATCAGTCATTCCAGCTACAGAGTATTGAGCAAAAGTCAGATCCAATGGTGCAAGTGCGACGAGAGATGTTTGGAGGGAATCCAGTTGTGTTTTGGCATCTTTGAAAGCTGGATCGGTGGCTTTACCAATGAGAGTTTGAACGGCGAAAATTCTCGATTTCACGTCCAAATCCACGTCTTCAAGTCCAACTAGCTTCTCCAGAATTGGCCCATATGATTCAAACTTGTCATCATCTGGCTTCACGAGGTTATCCTTCCAATTTTGAGCTGCGTTCAAAATTTTGTTAATCTTCACACTGACGTCATTGAAATGGAGCCAATTTTCTCTGATAGTTTTCAGAGTGGCAGCCGAATCTGTGATAGTTCCAGCTTTATCAACCACGTGGCCTTTTTGAATAAAATTCAACAATTCGGACTTGAGCTCCAACGTTTTCTGAACTTTCGCGATAACAGTAGCTGAATCACCGAGTGGTTTTGAGAACTTCTGAAGGTCTTTGAGCTGGGTAAGCATGTTCGTCTTGTCGGATGGGGAACTCTGTAATAAGATTAAAATTTGATTATTGATTTTTTATTTTTTGGGAAAATAGTGAAATTCTCACCTTGATACTTTCCATTTCAGTTCTCAACGCCTTAATCGAATCCACTGAAGAAACAACAGTTGTGGAAGCATCAGTGACATCTTTGGAGAAATCTGGACTCTTCAAGTCTCGAAGGCGAGTTGCCAGTTCAGCGACGCTTGCTGCTCCACTCAAGTCCTGCTTCATGTTCTTCAAATTGTTGAAATACGTTGTGTAAGAAATTACAGTGGCGTCCTGATTGATTTGGGTGAATTTTTGTGAGTTTGTCACAATTTCCTTTGCAATCGTATTGACCTTTCCACCTATTTTCAATCCAGTCACATGTGGCTTCAAAGAATCCAGAAGTTTCAGAGCATTTTGGATGGAATCGGAGTTAGCGGAATCAAGGCTATTGATTGAGTCCGAAAATTTCTCACAGACATCCGCGATTTCACTCACAGATTCTGATTTTCGATGTAACTCACTTAGTTGCTGGCTACGGGCCGTCATTCCCGCAGTAAAGCCGGACACGGAACTGGGTAAATTTATAGCATTGATTTCCGTGATGACA